ACTATGCACTTATCATACAAACATCATACACACGCAATATCTGAATAAAATTATATCATTCAATTCTAGGTACCGACATATCGTTTGTAACACGACTCGCCATTCTAAAATCGAATGTCTTTTCATTTAAAAGACCATTGCTTGTCCGACACCATACGCTGGCGTAGATGCTGTTTGTTTTTGTCTATTTGCGTTTTACACAGTATTTTAGAATTGTTTAAATGATATAAAGACGAATGAATGCTTTAATGAAGGTGCGTATATATTAATGTATTGAAAGCAAAAATTGTGTCTGAACATTTACTCGTGGCCGCCAACAGCAAAATGTAGCTTGCCAACGCTGTTGCAACGTTATTTGTTGGAATGCTGTTTGAATGACGCGTGCGGGGATTCGTAAAAGGGTGAGTATGGCAAAGTCGCGATTCCTTTCATGCTTAGAAGTCTCATTATGGTGATTAGTTAATGAAATAAAACTAATATTGAGTGACGTTATGACGTTATCAATGTCCTCCTGAGGACATTGAGTTCGTTCTTGTTACACTTTATCAGGCAGGTTTTGCTACATTGCCTTATATTGGCTCTCTATCCTATCGGAGCTAAAACTGTGATTCTGTAGTGGTTTTGTGTACAGGTGATTGTTAGTCACGCTTGCTACGGGTTTTTGTCGGCGCACACGGCTGCGCGTTTTGAGAAATTCGATTTGCGCTTGCGCAATTCGTGTCTATTAAAAATCTGAAAATCGTGAACTTTCGTGTGTTTTTTTCGCTTTCACTTTGTGTCGTTAGACAATATATTTAACTGTTATGCATAGTTTATTTCTTGCAACAGGGTGGTGATGACAAAACCCTATAACTCAAACAGCGTACAAGGACGCCGTGTGAAGTACCGGGGTCACATGATGGCGCCGCCTGTGTTTGTGAAATGTAATTCTTCATCAGGCTGCAGCTGCTGAAATAAGGTTTACAAAACCATGAAGGTGAAAACGATGATCATGATAAAATCAATAAAATTCAATCACTGCTATTTAATTCTTTCAACTTGTGCATTTGTGTGAATACATGTATTCGGCTCTATAAGGGTGTTCGAGAGAACCATGCATGACGGAGTGCCACAATTTATGTTTTAAGATATATTAACACAAATGATGGACATAAATTCCTAGTGACCTTCGGTTGTCAATGATCTCACTGGGTTAAAACTATATGTCACCTCTTTTAGGGTGAATATTTGTATTATTTTATATCGTAATAGAACCATCCACCCACACCCCACCCAACCCCATCAGTCGGTATACGCTCGATAAAGTGCTGGCCACACTAAACTAAATTACGTGATCATTCATTGATATTATATTGTATAATCAAATAAGTCTGCCCCCATAGTCGGTAAATTGACCATCAGCGTTTATAAATGTTATAATATATACCATGTATTTCTAACGTTGTAGCGGTGTCGAGTACACGGGTATCGTTAATAGAATACCAATAAAAAAAACAGTTAAAATCCCGTTACCTTATTTCGAATCAGAAGCAGCGTTATTTATTATTTTTAAAGAGAGTCTGGTGATTAATGCGATTCCTACTTGTATTATATGTCGTTTGACTGTACACGCAGACTCGACGTTATTGCGGTACTATTTAGTTTGACATCATGGTCTTCGCTATGGCGACTTTGCACACATTACTTGCAAACATCGTAATAAGGTACGAATTGCGCATTTTACAACTGAATGTACGGAATTTACATGTGGCAAGAAAATTCCATCAAAGTTGAAAAATCATTAAATAGTGCTAATACTTGTTAAAGCATTATCAAAGAACTTAAGCACAAAATTATAAGGTGTAACACATTAACATAATAATGTTTCTGACCCATTAAATTATTAATACAAAAGAGTATGAAAAACGATACTGATTATGTGAATGCAATTGACTTCCGACATTGCGCGGTATGTGAATAAACAAAATATAACCGAAGAATCTTCCAAACATTTCGGATTCGGTTCAATAAAGACTAAAAATATGAACCTAACAACACCTTTCTGAGATGTGATGTTTCACTAAGCGTCATTACAGATAAAGTTTTACCCGTGTCTGTCATCTGTTTATGATGAATCGAAACAATTCACCATTGCTATGAAATTCTGTCCTCTACTAAAAAAGTGTCTCTGTGACGCCAGTACGCCGTAAATTAATGACAACAATTTTGCTGAAATCGACAACGATGTATACGTGTGTAGTCTTTGTTATTTTAAATGTAGGAAACTCTCCAAAAAATAACCGTATTTGATGACTACAGATAAAATGATATCAAAGCGCTTTACGTCACAGAAATGCATCACTAATGTCGTCATCTAATCCAGGCTGGAATTATGAAAAGTACACACTGAAATAAGTCAACCGTGATGCTGATAACTTAATGCTATTATCGAGTTAGTCAATGGTAGTTGGTTTAGGTATGTCAGATATAAATCCACAACGGTCAACATATTGATGAACAGGAAGCGACAATATATCGCACTGCAA